CTTGAAACCGATAAAAGATGTCTTGCAAATGAGCAGCATGCGAAGACAGGAATCACCGTACCTAGTTTTCCCAGATTGTAGTCTAGCACATATCCTTGCAAATGACAGCATTTGACTGTCTCGCAATCCTTTGGGGGAACATGACGATTTCTTGCAAGTACGAGTTGAGGAATCCACGTAGATTGCCCGTCTGACCCGGTCGACAAATGCTTGTTTAACAGTTCCTCAAGAAATGGATTATGCCATCACCTTGGCAAATCACCAGTCTACCTGCACGTAAATACGCACTCACCACAACCATACTTGGAATCTGAAAAACGCATAAGCACCTGGCTTTGAAAATAATATCTTACAAAGGGGAAGAAATTTCATGTAAAAGACTACACACCACCGTGTTTTACCTATTTATTACCAATATATACTCAATAACTCTTTCACTGGTTTGGAGTGAGAAGCATAGATTCTCGTTGAAAGTGTTTGTGTAATTACTGGATTACATCATAAACTGTATATTACCGCAAATTTATGCGCATTTCCTTCTTTACCAAAACTTAGAACTACAGTATTCTCAGAGCTTCGATTCGTTATAAACGCCTTTGAGCATTAAAGCTGCGATTTTACCACATTTGTAACAAAACTTGATTTCAACGCGTTGCTTCAGTTTAACAGCGTATACACTTTAAAGCACTGACGCATATCACATATACAGGAGAGCGCTGTTTACAGTTTGAAAATAAATACAGAATTTGTAATAGTTGTGGAATATTAGTAATATGGGTAATAATAACAAGATCTTCCATCTACGTAGTTTAATAATCATTCGATACCATCGTTTGTTTCTCGTGAGAGAATTCAATTCTACAAATGTGTATCTAAGATTTTAAATTATTTCGCTAAAAAAAATTGCAAAATAATTAACTCAACTAACTTGAATATATATTTTTAAATCTTGCTAATACAGTTTTATATTTTAATACAACAAAACTTGTACAATACTTTTCATAACGATCCCATACATTTTTCGGGTAAACCCTAATTTGAATTGCTGGTAGTGTAAATAGGTATAGTACTATCTCCCTGCAACATACAACCGCTGTTACCACCGTAACATCTCTGACCGAGAGGTCCTAACTTTAGTATCCAGAGGGTGTCGAATTTTCGACTCTAATTAGATAGCTGGGTCGATTTCAGCCGCTTTCAAGAGAATAATTCCAGAGGTCGGCTGCTCTGATCGGTAGTTTTCCGTAATTTCTCCAATAAAAACCAAATGAATGCCACAGCAATATTCTTACTAACCGGGTGCAGACCGCGCGCGATCTTTCCTTCCTTGGTATTGTCCCCATTCTCCCCCCTGATCCAACCTTACATCGGTGAGGGGTTGGGCGGGGCGGGACGGAGCGG